TACATATAATATGAAGATATTATATATTGTTGGAAAATCTATTGGAAGTTAGATGGATTTCAATTTTATTTATGAATAGAATGGTGTTATTTCACACAGGTACCCTCTACGATATAAATTAAATCTGAGAACAATGCGGTTTATCTGCGTGGAAATGCAATTTGCACCGAAGAAATTTTCGGTAGATTAACCGATTTTTTTGGCGTATGAAAATGCAATTTACGTGACAAAATCATCTAAGACAACTCTCTCTAATCTTATCTTTCATAGGAGCTTCTCCAACATTTTCATGTATATGCTCATTTAGTATCTAGCCTCTAAAAGTAAAGTCACTCATGAGTATTCTTATCTCTGCAAACACTTAACTTAATGTTATGTTTCTCTTTTAATGATGCATATTTGATACCATAAAGCATTGCAAGTCTCACCACATCTTATAAAATTTTCCTTTAAATATGAGGGGAATTTTCTTTCATACATTGCATTTAGGATATTCCCCTAAGTATGAGGGGAATTTTCTCTTTTTTAGGATTTTCCCTAATGCATTTTATACTTTAACCATCCAATTTGAATTTTACTAATAATATACACATCAACACCCTCTCTAGACTCATCAACAAGAAGAATATAATCAATAAAAGGCATATATCATAGTACAATTTCTTGCAAATCTCTGCAAACACTTAACTTAATGTTATGTTTCTCTTTTAATGACGCATATTTGATACCATAAAGCATTGCAAGTCTCACCACATCTTATAAAATTTTCCTTTAAATATGAGGGGAATTTTCTTTCATACATTGCATCTAGGATATTCCCCTAAGTATGAGGGTGATTTTCTCTTTTTAGGATTTTCCCCATGCATTTTTATACTTTAACCATCCAATTTAAATTTTACTAATAATATACACATCAACATCCTCTCTAGACTCATCAACAAGAAGAATATAATCAATAAAAGGCATATATCATAGTACAATTTCTTGCAAATGTCTATCATGAACATCCAAGATAAAAGGAAAAACTTATGGCAGATTTCAGGCAAATGAGGCGGTGAACATTGATGACTGATACTATGAAACATCAATAAAGTCACCTGTGAACGTTAGGCAAAGGGCTGGTCTCGTCGTCGGTGGCAGTGTTTGGCTAGGACGACTGATGCCAGTGGAGGGAACTGAAATGATGAGGAAAGAAAAAGAGAAGAAAGACAACCCTGCTAGCGAAATAAGGATTTCTCCGTCAGTTTTTCAAGCGGATTATCCGCCGGCAGCGTTACCGGCGCAAAATCCGTCCGAATGTGTTCGTAGGGTTTAAGTAGGTCGGCGCAATATCCGCCAGATATTCTGCTGATAATTTCTAGAGGACAATACGCACGGGAATAAACCGTCGGTCTTATAAATAACGACGAAGATGCTTGCGGATAATCCACCTGTAAAAGACCAGTGGACAAACCGTCAGAAACTCAGTCGTTAAGGTACCAACGAAATACACACCAATTAATTCACCGCTATTACCTACATATTTACTTATACCGGAAAGTCCAACGATAATGCAAGATTTTCATATATTGTAGTATAATATCTTCAATAAAAATGTTTATGCTACGTCATTTGCTGGGTGTCACTCCTAACTATCTCTATTGCTTGTATAAATGAAATAAATGTACCTAATATGAAGTATAGCTTTGAGTGTATCTTATAATTAGAATATAACTACGCTATGAAAAATCAACTGAGTCATCATTTTTTTTTTCTCAATAGTTCTTTTCACCACTGAAGAGCAAAAAAAATCAAATATTAAATATTATTTTTTTATACATTCTCTATTCATTTATTTATTATTTTAAAAACAGATGAATAATAAAATTAATGTTTAGATTAAAATAATAATAGTTAATAATACAATCGTACCACGCAAGCTTCTTATTCTTCAATGATTTTCTATATTAAATTTTGAGCTATTTATTTTTGACGACAAAAAGTTATCAGTTATGATCTAAAAATTATTTAATTTCTTAATTAATGATGAAATAATTCACAATTATTCCTTTTTAAAATAAATTATTCCTTTATATAAAATTAAAGTCCAAAAACAGAAGTCGGCAATTCCTTTCGATCATCAAAATTCAAAATAGTCTCAAAATTATTCCTTTTTAAAATAAATTTAATATATAAATATTAGTTAGAATTTATAGTATTTCAATCTTAAAATAAACTCGATATATTTGAAATCTGTTTCAATTAAAAAAAAAAATTGAAAGGCTTTTCAAGGATGAAAAATCTAAATTTCCCAATAAATGAGCATGCCTATTTGCTAATTTTAGCTTATTTATTTTTTGGTCTTTAGAAAATATTATAAAATAAGCTATTCCTCTTTCCCTCCTCTCAACCAAAATTGTAAAGCCGCTTTCCTCTCCAATGGAAGAAGCAAAACTTAACAACTCCGTCACCTCCACCACCATTGAAGAAATTCATCCTGACATCCTTAATCAAGTCCTCAACCACCTTGACGGCACATCGCTCGCTTCGGTGAACTCTGCCACCTCTTACCTCCGTTCCATCTCGTCCCATCCTGACCTCTGGCGCTACCTTTGCCTCTCCACATGGCCATCCCTACATCACCCTCGCATCCTCCCTCTGGTCAACTCCTCCCCCCACCGCTTCTTCTCCGACGTCTTTCCCTACCCCACCTCATTCACACCAACCAACAATGCCGACCTCCCCGATGAACTCATCTCTGCCGTTGATCTCTACAAGAATGACATCCCAATATCTTCATTCGTTCTTGAGTCTGACACCTCCTCCCCGAATCCTTTATTCCACATTTCTCCTTTCGTAATCAGTGGACCAGATATTGTAACGGACGTATTGCCAGAAGAGCTGACATTGAGCTGGATCGTGATAGACCCGACGACAGGACGGGCGGTGAATTTATCGAGCCGAAGGGCGATGGTGGTGAGGCGGCATTGTTTGTGCTGGGAAGCGGTGGCGCGATTCACAACGGCGAGAGATGGGTGGGTAGTGGGAGTGCTAGTGAAGTGGTGGGATGAAGGACTGGGACTTGTTGAGTTGCATCTAACTATATGGGACGAGGGTGGTGCGCCTGTGAGCTATATGGAGGGATTGAGAGTCGTGATGGCAGCAATGGATGCGGAGAGGAAGGCGTTGGGAGAGGAAGAGGCGAATGAGGGATATTTTGAGTATTACGACATAAAGATAAACAAAGAAGAGGTAAGACAAAAGAGTGAGTGGACGGGGATTTGAGCTTTCTCATCATCATTGCCATCTTTATGACTTTTATTTTTTTGTTTATTTTCTTATGACGTTTGGTGATCATCCTTTTTTTTTAATGTTAGATGTTCTTCGCTACTTGTTTTCACGCTCAAATAATGAGAATAAAATTTTCATGACTTATTGTTATGTGCATTTAGGGATGCCAACGAATTGAGTTGAGCATATATTTATTCATATTTGAGCTCGTTTGTTAATAGTTTGCTCAAGTTTGCTTCAAGTTCAATTCAAACTTTTTTGTTTTATGTTCGAGTTTAATTCGTTTAAAATGATATATGTTCAAATTTTATTAATGTTCAATTCTTTCAGGCTTGTCAAGCTTTAATTGAGCAGCTCATTTAAATCAACGAACGAGCCGTATCAAGCTATTAACAACGAATCTTATTGAGATGGTTATTAGATTAACAAATAAAAAAAAAAAGATATCTATCAAGCTTTCTCGAAATAAAAAAAAGAGGTAATATGGCAAGAAATTGAATGGGATATAAATAAAATAAAACAAAATAGTTTACATTACCGTTTCAAAATAACAAATAAAAATTGGTATTTTAACTATTTTGTATAAAAATCATTCAAACTTTACAAATATGCTGCTTACTAAAAAGACTTCCAATCAACTCTAATAAAAAAAATTGGCGTTTTTTAGACTGGAAATCTAAAAGCCAATATACAAATATAAAAGAACTGAATTTATTATTGAATCTTCCTATTATAGTAAATTTTCAATGATCTTTAAAAACCAAATAACTATTATTGACGAGTCCTCGATCTAGTGATATTGTTATTAATATATAAGAGTTTTATAATAAGAGGGACAGCACCTATTTCTCTTATTACTTTGATTGGATTTAGAGGTGTTAGCTAGACTGATTATACATTAGTTTTTATATTTAGGAAGATTTTTTTATTGCTTTCTAAAATAGTTTTTTAGTACCAAAATTTATCTTAAGAAAATTTTATACTTAGAAGTTGCTTTTAAAATCAATGAGAAAGCCACCCCAAACCAAGCTTGAGACTTGGTTAAAGAGGATTCATCGTCTTTTTCTAGTGGGTATGTTGGTGATATTTTTCATGGATGATAGTCCTCATGATGGAACAATTATTAGGTCCGGTGACTGGACGTAGCTCTACGTTCTGTCACCACTGAGTTACCCAGTATTTGCTCTGTATTGCTAGGTATTGCTTGGCAATAACGAGAAATACCGCTCTGTGAAGACCAATACCGAGTAATACTGAGCAATACCGAGTTTTTCTAGAAAAAACTCGGTATTGCTCGGTATTACTCGGTATTGCTCGATATTTGTCTTCACATAATGGTATTTCTCGTTACTGCTGAGCAAAATAGACAAATACGTGGTTTTGTGCCTGCTACGTGGCACGATTTAGTGTCGGCTGAACGTAGTTCTACGTCCTTTCACCGGACCAAATAAAAGTTCCCTCATGATGATACTTTCCATGGAGTGTACTCTGTTGAAACTTTTGCTCCTTTATTCATTTTCATGCACTTGTGATTAGTAGACATCATATCTTTAAGCTGATGCTAAGACCTTAAACCATACTAATTAGTTTAATGGGTCAAATTATTATCAAGAAGATATTGGGAGCCAGATATCCACTAACAATTTCGCTATCATCCATCCTCTCAAAATATGTCGAAAAAAAACCTATTGGGTTGATCTTATCCTTGATATTAATTTTTCTTTGAAAGCTTTTACAACCAATCATACAAAGAAAATGCTTCATTACCTGCTATTAAATTTAATATTTTATAAAGAAATTATTAAATGAATAAGTCTTTGACTTTTTTTTTTATTATTAAATATGATCTTA